GTGAACAGCTCATGAGCAGTCCATTTCATGACGCTCTTGCCCTCATCCATTGACTCACGATAGGTACTCTAATTGGGGTCACTCTAGGAGAAAATATTGTCCATTGAATCCCTCAAAAATGGGTGTGAGTGTGTGCGCGCTATCTTTTTAGATAATTTTCAAATACGTATCTTAGTGCAATTTCAATTTCTTTATTTAAGTTGTGGCCTCAATAGAAACAAGTTTTAGCTCTGTCATTGCTAAATATCACAAATATGTTAAGTGGGAAAATATAAAACTTGCCTACTTTAAGACATGAATTGACTCAGGATAAGTATTCTAATTGGGGCCACTCTGGGAGAAAATATTGTCCATTGAATCCCTCAAAAAATGGGTACCAAAGTCCACTGATTCTTCTACTAAAAGTACATATTCAGGTTGAATTTTCATTGCAAAAGAGGACAGACCAACTTGTATCTCAAAAATCAAAATACGGCAGTTGTGCTTCCTCAAGAATAGGACTAAAAAGAATAGGACCAACTTGCTAAAAGTACACTTTTTTCAGTTTTGTGGCTAGGCTTGAAGACAACCATATGATTCAGGGTACCATTGGTTGGACTAAAAAGCATCATGCAAAGATGAGGCAGGGTAAATAAGTAACCGCAATGTAACGGATCTTTTGTCTCATTTTTTATGTTACTTTTTTTTTTATTATATTATTATTTCTTCTTTTTTATTTTTTTAAAATCTAATAACTATTAACTGAGTAAAAGATCCTTATACCATATAAGAACGAGTTTAGGTTTTTAGATTTCAACTGCAAGGGTGGGGCTATTTTGGGAATGTGAGAGTGTTTAAAGTGTAATTGAAACATTGAGTACAAGTCATTATAACTTTAATTTCACTATAATTACTTATATAACCTTTCAGGCATTTAAGGTTAGGGGTAGGTTTGGTATGTTACAATGTTTGGTGCCAAGTTGAGTATCAAGTACAACTGAATTAAGCTTATGTTTTGATAGAATTATATAAAAGCCCTTTTAATCATTTATTATACTGACATCCAGCGTCTTCCAATTTCTTGAAACCTTTCTCATCTGTTAAGGAATTAATTGGATGTTTACATAATTGAATTTTAATTACAATTAATTAACTTAATTATTATCTGAATAATTATTATCATATTTATGCCCCCATGTTTAGCGATGCCTCTTTCTTCTTTTTCGGTTTCACCCCTTTGGTTTTATTATGGCTATTAAATATTTGGTGGCATGTGTAGCTTTTCCTTTAAATTGAGGTGAGTTCTTTGGGTTTGTCTTTTTCAATTGTAGTTTTTTTTTCCTAATAATTGGTTTATTCAAAAACTCCATATAATTTGCTTTTTGATACTTCTAATTCCAAAACAGGCTTATTGTATTGTTTTAATATATCCCAAAGATTCTGTCTCTGGTCAAAGTACAATTTGAAATAATATTGTCACTTTCTAAAATAATCAGAAAAACAATTTTATCATCTGCTCCTTCTCGGCCAAGGTATTATCTCTTTATTTAAGTCAAATAACCTTATTTCTCACGAACTTTCTCCTATTGTTTTTGACTCCAGGGATCTGTTGACTACATTCCAGCAGTTATGGTTCAAGTAGTTATTTTTTCATGTAATATGATTTGGAATTCAGCTTGTGTTTATTTTAATTGGGAATTTTATAATTGTAAAATTTATTAACTTAAAATTTTGTACTTCATTGAAACTAAAAAAGAAAATTAATCATGGTGCATAGTACTAAGATGTCATTTGCACTCTATTTGCTTTTCATGTTATGATCTCGTTCTTGTATTCTACTGTTATATAGTTTCAAATACAAAAATTTACCTTTTATGCTATCTAAAAGAATTTGTAGTTGAACTTGATGAGTTTAAATGCTTTAACTATAGTACCATTTTAATTGCATTGTATTAATTCATTTACTCATAATTGTATGTTGTACAATGATAAATAATGTTTCTTGATTTGATTGAAGCAACTATTATCCATAGTTCAAACGAGCCAATTAAGTAGAGATACTATATTGGATACTTATACAAGTAAACATTGGAAAATATCATTAAGCAGTTTCTACCTATAGTTTGCAATTCGAACTCGTACGAGAAATTTCTTCTGATTTTAGTTACCATTTTCTACAATTTCAAATTTAAAAATATTATTTGCACCAATTTTTTTATAATCAAGATAGTTTCAATTCAGATCTTTAACAATTATGCATATTTGAACTTATTTATGAGATTATAAAGAAATGCCCTAGCAAAAACACCAAATCTGAATAGTTTCTACAAAATTTTGAAAAAGACCACTTAAGTTTCTTATTTGTCTATCATTTTTTGGCATTGTTATCTCTGTAAGAAACATGTGATTAAATCGTATTATGCCCACCAAATTATATAAATAGTTAGTCAAAAATAAAATTATTTTAGATTAGACTGAGCGCAAAGTGATTGATGGATAAACTTGACTTGATAATTCAGGTTGAGCTTAAGTCGAGGGAGAAATCAGAAGCATTACTTGAGGGATCTTTCACGAACATATATAGATTCGAGAGATGAATGGTCCAATTGATACTTTAAAATGTTTTATCATCTTGGATAAGTTTTAGAAGAGACATTTGGATACTTTTCAATTACATTTCAAACATTTTTAAATTTTCAAACTACCCTTATATTTGCAGTTGAAATTCAAACATAACTTTTGATCACAACGGATTCTTATATAGTATAACGATAAGGATGTCTCATTGCACATTATTTTTATTGACTCACTATGTAACTTATGATTTTTCTATTAAAATTATATGATAAAATCATCATAATTCAGTTCCTATATTACAAAATATTAAACAATAATTATTAATTATCTTGAATCACAAGCACCAAATTTTTCGCGCGTCGCGCGGGCTGTCCTTCCTTAGTAAATATAATAGTTTCAAAAAAGTAATATATAATAAAAAATTTAAAAATATAGCAAAAAATTCATTAAAAAAAATCATCAATAAGGGAAGAAGGCTATCACTTGACCAATAAAGACAAATAACGTATTGAACATCAATGGCCTTCTTCGACGTCACTAAACAGAAGCAAATAGTAACGATAGTAAATGCTGATATTGTTGGCATAGTTGGAAAGCAACGTACTGACAGTGGCGAGGAAGAGGGTGACTATCAAGCGCGTCACCTTCCCCAACTTCCAACAACTCACATTTCTACCTGCTAAAATTTATAGATTAATCTTGTCTATGCTAGCCAAACGTGTCACTTAATTTTGATTTGAATTTAAATTTTTTTTTTTTTTTGTGTATGTGACATACATATAAGGATGTTAGTATATATATTGTCAGTGTATATAAAATTAACACTTATATTTTTATAGAATGTGATTTTATATAATGATTTTTCTCTGTCTTTAACCTTATCTTTGATTGACCTTTTATGGTTCCTAGTGTCAAGAACTGATTCCTTTTTTTTCTTTTAATTAGATGTAGTATCATAATTTAGATGTAATTTAGGTAAATCTTCGTACTTGTTTTTTCCTACATCCTTGAAATAATACTTCATCTCTTATTAATCAAGTTAGGCTTGCAACTATTATCTTTAGTAACCATCATCTTATTCAAGATAAAAAAGATTATTGAAAAATGTACTTGTGATGTAACAAAAAAATTTTACAAATAAACCACTATCCAAACAAATTGAATCTTGTGTTTGGACAATTCCTAAATTGCTATACTATTTCCCTTTTATCTCTTTTATATTTGGAGAAAATTAAGATTTTGAAAGGTCAAACTTATTAATTTTCAAAATCATATTTTCTTTTCCAAAAGAAAGAGAGAAATAAAAGGAAAAAAAAAAAAAAAAGAAACAAAGTAGTGAAAGGGTGAATTTATTAATTTAATAGTTTAACTTTGAATTTTTATTGTTGGCTGTTAGTTTTAATGGAAAAGTTAAAGGTGATATTTTAACCTAAACTAAAGAAGATTATATATGGGTTTTTAAATCATAAGAGATTTAGTAAAGTATTAAATCACTGGGGATAAAAGATAATATATCAAAAAAAATTACTATATCTAACTAGATTATAGACTATGTTTTGTAATTTTTGTATTCAAAATTGACTATGTTTTGTAGACCATGTTTTGCTAGACTATGTTTTTGTGGACCATGTTTTGTAGACCATGTATTCAATATTGAAATTGACTATGTTTTGTTTTGTAATTTTTGTATTCAAAATTGACTATCTTTTGTAGACCATGTATTCAAATTTTTTATAGACCTGTTTTGTATATTTTCATGGGAGTATTTTGTTCACCAAAAAAAAAAAAGGACAGAGTCCATTTCAATATTTTAGAGCCCAGTAAGTTTTATTTTTCAGCCGAATGGGAAAGGCCAATAGGCTTAAGCCCAATTCTTTCTCGAACTTCTAAGCCCACTCCAACAAACCCAAAAAACTAAAACCCCTTCCCTTCTAATTTCTTAAGCCTCTTCTACCCACCGCTTTCTCCGCTCCTCTCAATTCCGCCCCCGCCGCAGCCGCCGCCACCTCGTCAGCCGTTACTACCTTGTTTAAGGTCTGTAAAATCCTTTGTAGCCTTTTTTTTTTTTTTTTTGTGGGTGCCGAGAAATTGTTTCTCTTTTGAGTCTATGTCGTTACTAGAAACAATCATAAAAGCTTCATCGCCTGGCTCGGCCGGATTATGAGTCAGAGTACCCTATAGTTCTGAACCCAGACCCCGTTTTCCTGAACCTTAAGCCTGAAAATGAGGACCAATTGATAGAATACTAGTTAAAAAGGATGATGGTTGGCCGATTTCGCAAAATGATGCTGAAAGAATTGAATTAGCCGAAATTTCTTCAAGAAGTTGAGAAGAAAGCTGAAGAATGCTAACAGTTTCACTAAAGATGAGTTTTGAGATGTTCAATCCATTTTTGGAGAAAAATGGGGGATATTAGGAATTTCGGCTAAAATTGGTAGGGCGGGAGGAAGGTTATAGTGTGAAATTGGTTGAAAAGGTGGGATATTTAATGGGGAGAGATGTGAGGGGCTTAATTTTGGAGGCTTGTATTGTTTTGGAGCTCTGGGATGTTTTGGAGAGTTTGTTTGTTAATAAGCTTGTTCTGCATTCCTGTGTTTCTAATTTGGTTAATAATTTGATTGAAAAAAGGAGGTCTGATTTGATTGTGTTGTGCGTTAAGCACATCGGTGACATTCAGACTTACGAAATTATGTGTATTTTGAAGTATTTTCTGTGTCCCTCAAAGGAGGGGTATGAGAGTATGGTTAGTGTGAGGAAGGATTGGGAGAGTCAAGCATTGTTAGCTATTGAAAAGGTTAGTGATAAGAATCTTACTGCGAAGAAATTGAGTGTGGCAAGGGATGCTTCTTTGTTGATTATGGTGGCATATGATGGATTCTCAGTATCAGAATTGTGCTTACATTATTTGCTAGCATCAAAGAATGTTGATGATGTGATATTGGCATCTTGTATTAGTAAGTTGAATGGTTTGGAAATGATGAGTTTGATTCAGTATTTGAGCAAGTGGTTGAAGAAGTATGAGAGGTTTCCTCAAGTGAGTCCTTGTCCAAAGGCATCTTCAGTGTTGGGGCTGAAAGTTTGTGAATGGATTCCAAGTCTTCAAGACGTTGTCAGGTGTCTTGGTTTGGTTATAGATGAGCACTTTTCTTCTTTGGTTCTGCATCCCGAGTTTCATGAGGAGTTGAGATCCTTAGGAGGACTGGCTAGTTCTTTAGCTGCAGAAGCAAGGCTCTGTGGTTCTCTGGCAAATTTGACTGAGAGGTTGAGAACAGATCATAGAGGTATTTATATAGAACTTGTAACTACATTAAAATCTACATATTTTTAGTCTTTATCTCAAGGTTGAGTCTGATTTTGATTTAAGCAAGTCTCTGCCGTGCAAAATGAAATGCTTATCCTTCCATTTCAAGTTCGGCCTCTTTGTTTCTGTCCTTTGGATGATTCATTTTAGGGATAGTTTTTATACATATAGAACTATTCCAATGATACTTGTATTACTGATAGCGGTAATAGCAATTTCATACGAGGCTTTCTTGAACTAAGAATATGCTACAATTATGGCTGTTACCTCTTTCTATATGGTTAAGGCAGGGAAATGGGGTTCTTGAGGTATAATCAAACAAGTTGCTGTCAATATAGTTCACTTGTTATCAACTAATTATCATCATGGGCCAAAGAAACCCTTTTTTTAATTAAGAAATGTTGTCGTGTTCAATTTGCAACAGGGTCGAACGGGGAATATATGGTTCATTTATGTGTGAGGCCATGCTTTTAGGTTTTTGCACAAGGCAGTTTTAGATTGAATGGCATGTGGAAAAATTGACGGGCCAAAGAGACCGAGGGAGAAATTGGGGTCTAATTATTACATACAAATATGTTTTGAGATTTCGAAACTGAAACATTTGTTACTTGTATGCTTGAGTGACTTCAACATCTCAACATTATGGTTTATGTTAAATCTGTATAATGCATGATGAACCATTGTAGTTTGCATATTGAAGAAAAATTTTGGGGTTAAATAGAAAAATAGTGCCAGTGGCTGTTCTTTGAACCTGAGAAAGTATTGAGTTCAGTACTGACGAAATGTTTATAGAGTAAGGCAAAATTATGGTTTTCTTAACGCACTTGTACATTTGTCATTAGAGTGAGGAAAGGTTACAACTAGAAGTGGCAAAATGGATTCATATCCACCAATCCATCCATATAAACCAACCTTAAATGGATTTAGATGATCCATATAAATTCAATGGTTTTAAATGGATAACCATTTAAATCCAATTATGTTAGTGGATTTAAATGGATTATCCATGTCATCCATATATATTCACTTAAGTTAAAAAAATAGAAAACACACGTAAGTCAGTGGATTTTGTCCTCTTCCCACCAGAAGTGAACTCAGGCTCCCACTTCCCACCCGAAGCTTCGTCCTTTTCTGCCCCTCTCGCAGGCAGAGCCGCATGCCCCACTTAACCTCTCCTCTCAACCATTGTCAGTTCATCACCACCCATAAAGCTCACCAATCACACACTCTTCTTATACCCAAGAAAACACACACTTCTTCCCTCTCCCCTGTGTATATAAACACACAGTCACACACCCTTTAAAATTTAAAAACACAATTGTGGATAGATAGCCAAAATTTCAAAAAAAACAAAAAAAAAAAACAACGACGACAACAACTCTGTTTGTTTCCTTCTATATGGCTTCCTCCATTTTATTCATCAACTTCGTCGCCACCATAATTCTCCACGTCTTCATCTCATATTCATCAATCCTAGTCCTCCCTTAACTCACTCCCTCTCGAAATCCCAGTTCAACAACACTCTCCACCACAAAAATAGAAAACACACATAACTTTGGGAATCTGTATTTTTTGAAAAAAAAATTTGGATCTTAAATTTAAGATTTGGGAGAGTAAATGGATGAATGGATGGATCATGGTTTACACTATCCATTTAAATGACATCCATTTAGATCAATTTATTAAATGGTTTTAATTGGATTGGATCAATTTAATCCACTATTCATTTAACTAAAACCATTTATCAACCATATATCCATTTTGCCACTTCTAGTTACAACTACTGAAGCAGCAAAGGTGCAGTATTTATGCTGTTGAATGTTTTTTCACAGTCATGTAACATAATCTTAGCTTCCATATGACTCCATTTAGAAGCGATGACTAGAAGCAGCAAGTGCTGAGGTCACCAAGAAAAAGTTTCTGGCCACCTAAACAGGAAGCCTTGTGATTGCAATTGACATTGATATGAGAACTTACTATGAGGTCAAATAGAAAAAGTGCATACTGAATTTGGCACGCACTCAGTTATTGTGTTGATAGAGGAAAAACAGAAAAGAAGTTGTCACTTCAGCAGAATAGACCTTAGTATTCTTCTCCACCTTCACATGACAAATTTTTGCTTTAGTATAGGATATAATCTTCATACTCTACTGTGGAATTTTTTTTACTATGTATGGAAATTTTATGAGTTTTCTGTCTGCTGTTTTATCTCTCATTGGTTACGACTACCAGATTTAGTGTATATGGTGGTATCATCATCCTTTAGTAAAATTTTCCCATCGATTTTTGCGGTTTTGGGCAAGTCTTTATAGTAGTTTTGTTTTTTTTTAATATTGGTGATTGTTTTGGTGATTGTCATCCATTTCAGCCTAAATCATGTCTATTTGCAAATACAGTGTATGCCATTCGATCATCCCATTCTGTAAATATTGGTTAACTTTCTGCTTTTAAAGATTTGTCAAAACGAATTTTTCCAAGTTTTAACTGAATTTTGTAATTTTAGCATATTTCATTTACATCCCAACGCATTTTCTGCAGGCTAAAAAACCGTAGAGGTGTGGAATTGGTTGGTAGATTGAGGAGTCTATCTTGCTGCTATATAAAGATCATTGTTGTAGCAGGTTGCGGGCCTATAGCACGTTGTAACTTGGGAGTGCAGAAGTTTGATACAACAATTTAGATTGACAAAGTGTAATCTGAATACAATCACAAGAGAAGTTTGATTATCCAATTGCCTTTCCGTTTCCAGGATTGGGGAAAGGGTTAAACATATTTTGTACTGAAATATCATCTCCTGTCCTACATTTTAGATTTTTAAATAGTTAATGTTCTGTTTTTGTAATATCCAGATCATGCAGTGGTTAAGTATCTCTATGATACTATTGTTAGATAAACATGACACAATTTGAATTTCGGATCAAGAGATTAGTGTTTTAATAAACACAGAGATTAGTGTTATCATTGATTTACCAAAATGTTATCAAGAAAAATTCCCTTCCACCTTTTTCTTTTTAATATACTACTTGAACCCTTTTGCTCCCTTCCCTCCTGATTTTCAAATTGAAGAACCACAAAATAGAAGTCTAATCCCCATCCAACAAGAAGTATTTGATGAGGATGAAATATTTGAATCAGCTCTGCCATGCAAAGCAGGAAACAGCTATAAAATCCCCATGATCCCAAGTACATTTTTTCACAGCAAACTTTACAAACTCAAAACATCAACCATGAGGAACACAGCTTTAGTGTCCCTTCATTTCTGTCTCTACTTTGTGCTCTTGCTCAATCATAGCACTGCCATTTCCATCAAATCTCTAAACAAAAATGCTGCAGCAAACAACATAGGATCTGGCTCTACCTCCTCATCATGGTGGTGGTATCGGTATCCACAATCTCCATCTCCATCTCCTAGTCCATCAGGGCAGGTGCATTCACCTAATAATACTCCATCAGGGCAGGTGCGTTCACCTAATAATGCTCCCGGTCCAAGCCCCAGTTCCAGCACTACTTCTTCTTCTTCCCCTCGGTCATGGTGGTACTTCCGTTATGATATATTTGGTCCATTACCCGATGGCAAAACTCCTCCTAAATACTACTACAAGTATTTCTTCAGATGGGGTGATCCAGCTAAGATTCTTCCATCGGGGAATAATGCCCTTCCAACTCCTAGTCAAAATGCTGGAAATGACTATTCTTGGTGGTATAGGTACGGTTCTGGTCAGAATCCTTACTATCCATATGGGTACAGATATGGTTATCCATCTAATGCTCCTAGTGGCAAGGGCTCTCCCTCACCGCCTCCTAAAGCTTGAAAGAAATCATCAGCTTATAACATATTGATATCATGCTCCATAGTAGAATAAAGGAGGGAAAGGTAGTATATATAGTTTTTTCAATGAACATCCCGTAGTATTATCAGTCTCTTCTTTCTTCTTGGGATAATTTCACAAACCTCCCCTGAGGTTTCAGACACTTGCATTGAGACCTCTCCAGGTTTTAACAATTACACCTAGCTCCCTTGCTTTTCACATTTTGGTAACAATTCAGTCCAATTAGCAATCCAATATTCCTGTCATGACAGAGTTGATAATTATATTCCATGAATGCCCTCAATGGAACTACTCCCTCCGTCCCAATATTAGAGACGTTTATAGGGAATGCAACTTTTTATGTATAGTAGTATCATTATTGACAGCCAAACCTTTGTTCCAGATTTACCCCGTCGCAAGTACAATGGTCAGCTGCACTTTGTGTTTTTCATGGGAGTAATGATTTTGTGGGTCCCATCTTAACCAAAAACATCCCTTTGTATGTTAGAGACACGCGCTATTATTGGCCTTATAAAGTGAGAGTTAGTCTCACGTACTCCTCTGGCTTCTCCAAATGGATAATAAATAACAGGTCCCACCAATTTTATTTGAATTTTCTAGCACATGCACTATGAGAACAAGGACAGAACATTAGAAGGAAAATAGTGTAACGTGACTCTAATTTTGGGACAATGAAAAAGGTGAAACATGACATTAACAATGGGACGGAGGGAGTATATTAGTACAAGATTGGTAGTTAATAACAAGGTAGACATAATTATCAAAGTTGAAGGGGTATAAATGCAATTTAGGAAAAGTTCTTCTGTTACACCAAGCACTCTTCAGTAGGCAACGGTCTGATGCACAGGAATAGGCAACGGTCTGATGCAATCTTCCAACGGCCAAAAATTTGGAAAAGATTGTGCATATAAACATCCTTAATAGTAGATTCCATGGCCTCTTCAAGCCAAATTTTTTCATGCAAATTTGGAAAGCACATTTTATCCTCAAAAGCCAAAAGACTATGAGGAGCATTCACAGAAGGCTAAGCTGAAAACATTTAGCAGATTCCATGGCCTCTTCAAGCCAACCAACAGAATTCTGGAATTCACCAACAACTTTCAGTATTAAGAATAGATATTGCTACTGCAATCGCAAGGTCACAGTGAAGATATCAGAGAGCGAAAAGAATCCAGACAAATTGTATTTCTGCTGCTCAAATTGCAAATATTTCAAATGGTATGATGGAGGAGAAGAAGAAGAAGTTAATAACAGAAGAAGCAACCAAGACACAAACAGGGAAAGGGATATTAGCAGAGCTAGAGTGCTTGGCATTTCAGAAAGGCAATCTGAACCTAATGTGAAACTGCAAAGACAATTTCCAGCTCAAAGTATCTTAGAAAACGTGCTGCTCATCACCAATATGCTACTGTTTGCTATATATATTTTCATTCAAATAGTAAAATCAATCAGCTCTTGAATTCATGTAAATCTGCTGCAACAATGTAGCAGTTGTAGTATGCCTTTTGTGGTGAAAGCCAAATGAAAGTTATCTAGCTATGTCAGTTAGAATGCTACATAAACTAATGTAAAATCCATGTATGCAGTAGTTTACAGTCATTGTATATGAAAGGGAATAGCACCAGTATGCTAATTTGATCAATAGCAACTGAACAATAGCAGCAGTTACATTACCCATGCTAAAATGCAACTTTTCTAGCCAACAGAACATATAACATTTCCATCAATGCAATCCAGAATTACAAAACACCATCTACCAGAATAGTTTCTAGAATAGATGGTGAGGATTGCACCACTAATAGTGTAAAATAGTGTGAGCTCCCATTAACAAAATATTTCAGCAGTCCTAACTTCTGGTACATTTCCAAATAGCAGCACCGAATTCAAAAGAAGTTAAATTAATCATTACATGCTAATTGGTCTGAACTGGCAACTCAAAACCAGTTACTGAAAGTGCTGGTACTGCTAATGCTATTAGAGTTCATAGTTGGTGGTGCATTCATGCTGATAGATGTAGCATTTTCAGCTATGTCAGAAGTCGAATAAACTAGAACCTGAGGATTGGAGTACATTCTGGTACTTTTGGTCCTACCAACACCTCTGACTGTTGAAGTAGAAGGATTGTTTGAAACAGGCCTTCCTCTCTGTAAACATAATAGGATGAAAGTCAAGTTCAAATGAGCAAAAATTAGATCACAGAATTTGTTATTCTCTTACACAAGCTATAATATACAAGTTATTACCTTTCTGTTAGAGCCTGCAGCAGTAGTTTGACAATTATTTTGCATGTTAACACCTCCATTATGACCAGTAGGACTAGGATTGCTCCCTTGATTGGAGTGAACTATATGTACTGCTCCTTCTACATAATCCTGTGAAATGAGAGCACTTGTGAGTCCCTGGAAATCTTTTCACATATATAATTGTAATAGATAAGGAATGAAACATAAAACTGGCAGCAGAATACCCAAAGTACAGCTCCTGATAAGCCTGTGCTGGCCATTCCTCTGCCCGGTCTACCTCTCCTATTTGTCATCTGTGATAACAACTTCAAATGAGTAGCACATAACAAAAATCAATGTAAGATGATGCAGTTCAGTGATAAAATAAAAAACTACTAGTTCAGCTGTGATTTTGTTTGCAGTCGTTCTGTGCACGGGTTGTCCTTTGCAGGTCCTCTTATTATGGCCAAAAGCTCTACAATGGCCACACTTGAGAGTGCTGCTCCTTTTTGGTTGTGAAGAGGAAGCTCCCTCATCAGCTTCCCTTCTTCGATTTACTCTTGGTCTACTATGAGCTCTTCGCAAAGGAGGTGACAACACAATTTTTGGGAGTAAATCAGGCATCGCAGGCCACCTTTTCACATCAGAAATAGGATGAATCATTTCTGAGTATGCCTTCAAATACATGTCCCTTGTGAATCAGGCTTCACAGTAATGTTCTAATTTTTCTCTCCTGTGCAATTATTAAAGGATTCAGTGAAATTATTTGTTACATGATCACATTTAAGTTCAGATGAGAAGACATGCCTACATCAGGAACTTTTTAGAATTTTGTCCAGATATCTCCAAGCAGCAATGTTAATATCTTTAATACTTGCCATTGCTTTATTATAGCCAACAACATCATAACTTTTTGCTACCTTCCAAAAGAAACTTCTAAGTAATATTCCTGGAAATTGAGACTTGAAATTGCAACATATATGCCTACAACAATGCCTACTAGTTGCATCAAAAAATATCTCCTCATAAGCAAGATTCAGTCCCTTCTGCCTATCACTCATGAAAGTTAAAGGGATGTTGTTGTCTAATGGTCCAAAAAACTCTTGAAAGTAGTAGAAGAACCATCTCCAAGTATCCTTATTCTTGCATTCAGTTACAGCAAATGCTATTGGAAAAATGCTGTGTTTGCATCCAAAGCAACTGCTGTGAGAAGCACACCTCCAAATGGACCCTTCAAGAAACATCCATCAAATCCCACAAAAGGTCTACAACCTTCTAGGAATCCCAGCTTTTGAGCTCTAAAGCTAATAAATATTCTCAGAAATTTAGGCTCAATTAACAAATTTGGCCTATCATAATGTATTTTACAAATGCTATTGGGATTATTGTTCCTTAACAGTTCAGCATATGAGGGGAGTTTAGAATAAGATTCAGCATGTGCGCCTTTTATTTCATTTAGTGCTTTGTTCTTAACTCTGAAAATCTGCATTTTACTCGGCTTTATACCATACTTTCTCAACTCTGCCTCTACACCTTTGCTGGTCATATTAGGATGATCTCTCATGACACCAACCAGCTTCTTGGCCATTCAATCAGAAGTGGCTTCAGCATAGTGTTTATCCATCACACAAGTGTGCTGTGGTTGGTAATTTTTAATCTGAAAAGTTATATTATCAGCCACTGGTGATGCATGTATTTTTTACTGGCATCTCTCAGCATTGCATATCGCAGTCACTCTCGATCTCTCATTTTTCAATCTCAGAAGTGGAAAACCTTTCTGAATAACATAATCTTTTAAGACAGCTCTAAATGTATCCACATTGGTGAATAATTGACCCTTCTCAAATTCTATGTCATCTTTAAAATTGTAAATCCACATCTTTGATCTTATTAACTGTCTCCTAGAATTATCCCCTTCCTCACTTTCAGAATCAGGCACCACAATTTCCATTTCATTGTCTTCAAAATCAGAAAAATTAGTATCACTTTCCTCACTATCATCATTTGAGACCCTATCCAGAACTAATTCATCCTCATTGTCACTATACGGATTGTGTCTCCATGAAGAATCAGAGCTAGAATCTCCATACTGATCATCTGAGATATCAACATCTATAGCTATTGTCTTCTTATTCTGTTTACTAATAACCAGAGTATCTTGCATGTTCACAGTAGTCGGATTTACTAAGTTATTCTCTTCATTAGTAGGGATAATTTCCATATCAGAGACATGCAAGTTTATCACTAGCTTAGATTGATGTTTTTTGAACATCTCACTAATAGAATAATCATCATTAACATCCATCGTGCAATTTTTTTCAAGAATTTCACATCTCATCTGCATAATCATGTTAACATTCCCACTTATCTTGCTCAGTACCTTTTCAGTTACATCAAACAACCAGTTAATGTATGAGTAGCCACTTGGATCAACATTTGGAATCCTGATTTTGTTTGTATTACAGTGAACAACAATGTCATATGAGCAGCAATAGTCCCCATCCTACATTTTCAGATTTGGATGCAAAGTAGTGATTAAATAAAAGTGCATGCTTCCTGCCTTTACATTCGACCAGAAACACCTATAATTTTCAGAAACACATCAGCATACATCTCACTACATATCAACGTATTTCAGCATTACAGAAACTACTGATCAAGCAAAACAGTTAATATTTGCTAATACATTCATGCACATTTTTAATAGAAGTTAATGAAATTTCCAGAAACATCTTCCATGCATCCATCGTGCATGAATTTCAAGAAACATCTTAGTTACAGTAGTGCATGAAGCAACAAACATCTTTAGTTTCTTGACACATCTACTGATCAAGATTAGTACCTTAACAGATAACATGCACTTTTTAACAAACTGATTCATTACAACGGACGAGATTATAGTACTGCATATCTGAAAATGAAAATTGGTACCTCAATTTCTGCTTCTAAGAAGCTTAACTTCCACTAGATGAAGACAGCTTCACACCAGTTCCATTGCCTTCTTCATTGTCCCGTTTCTTAGCATTTAGATATAAGACATGTTATCTGAGGTTTGTATCTACAATGCAAGATACATCTGTTCAATCAGCCTCGTCACATCACTCATCATCAGAAATTGGCGCCAATACCAAATTACATCTTCTATTGGCGCCTAGGAGTAATCATTTTTTAATCACCATCATTAGACATTAAATTTCTTATTCTGGTTAAACATAATTAGAAACCTCCAAATGCATTTGTGTAGGTAGTTAACGTCAGTGCAAATGTATCCTCTGAGGACAAATAGGTCATTTCAGTGCCTGCATATCAGATTTGGGCCCCAATAATCTGCCAGGGAGCTAGGTGTAATTTTTAAGGGTCTCAGTGCAAGTGTCAGAAACCTCAGGGGAGGTTTTGAAATTATCCCTTCTTCTTATGTAAGAGACAAGGGTTGTGCTCCATATTCAATTATCATTAATAAAGCGAGTTCTTTCTGCATTAATATTTGCTGGTTTTTTCTTTGAATATGTGTTATAGTAATTCTTTTCCATTGAGAAAATTGTTATTGCCATTTTAAGCCAAATTTCCCCTTTTACCAGAAGCCGTCTACTTTTCTTTACTTTAATTATAGCAAGTATACTAGGAAACCATGTTGTGCAAGGCACAGCTTGGGTCCACCTGAAATATTGTTTAAAATATATATAGAAAAATAACAGCAATATAAGAATTAAATATATGACAAATATAGTTTCAACATGATAGCGTTTTTGTTTAGCATTGCTAATTCGAAACATTAGCCCAAAAATAAGTTAGTCCTAAGTTAAAAATTAACTAAAAAAATAAAGCGCATGAATATTTTTTTTTTGTAAAATTAATTCTAACAAATACATATACTTTCACATGTCCTTATTTGAAAATATAATAAATAGCATGAAAAACTATGTCGATATTGTTTAGAAAAAAATAACTCATCCAACTCGCAACTTAGAGTCTAAAAGTATCATTTAACATATAATGTCCACTAAAAAGTATAAATGGGAATACATTGACCTCATTTAGAAAGAAAATTAATAATATGAGTTATGTTAGCAAATTCGTCTCGTTTAGCAAAAGAAAAATGAAAGAGAAAGGTTTAAAGCATGGGAACAATTAGAGAGATAAAGGGTGGAAAGAAATGAAGGACGAAGCAATGGTACATTAAGATTTGTGTAGGTTTTTGTCATGGTAAAAAAGGAAAGAGAAAATAAGGAAAAAAGAAAGAAATTAAATCACCTTCCTCAAAAGGAGTATGCCACTTGTCAAAAAGAAGAGGTGCCATGTGGCAACCATTGGGGCTGCTACAGTAACTTCCCTTCTCTTTTTATTATACTTGAGGGATGAGGGATATAAGGTACTCCCTCCATCCTATTGAGACTATTATACTTTACATTTTGGGATGCCTTAAAATATTTGTCGTGAAAGTCAAAACTCCTCTTATCCTCTTCTTTCTTTAATCACGTGCATATGCATGTTGCTATTCAAATTCAAATTTTGAATTATGGAGATAAAATTGAAAAGAGAAGTATAAGCATCATAATCAAAGTGCTATTCTTAAAAAGTTGCATCCTAGAAGCATGACAAATAAATACAATTTTCAAATAAATATAAATAAATTGGGACGGAGGGGTATAAAGGATAGCTATTCACATAAAAGAATAAAAAGAATAAAAGATTTTGGTATTAGTTGAATTACAAGCCTTTCTTTTACTTTTTGAGTGTACTTTTTCATGTCATTCAAAAGTGTACATCTAATCTCTCCCTTTTCCATTGTATGTTGAAGGGGCTCTCTTATCACAATGTAAATATGGGATCCTTCTGCTACGAATTTCTTTCTATTCAGTGATTGTATTTAGTGGGTTTTTTTTGGGTGTATGCATACAAATTTTATGCACTCATGAAGTGCAACAAAGACACATGCTAAGGACATTGGTAATTTGAAATCTTAATTAGTCATTGTTGATAAGCTTTAGCGTTTAACTGAAGATAAGCATCGCCCTCTATGATTTTTGTTACTAAACTGTGATTAACCAATTTAGTTTGCATAGTTGAAGATAAAGTTTGGAGCTCCCATAGTCCATACAGAAGAGTTGCCTATATTTGGGCTCTCCTTTATTTTGATTCAAGAATTAAAACTGAAAGCGAGTTTGTCTACTTAATCTTCAAATAAGGAATTTGATGAACACATTTCATACATTAGTAATCAACCAAGCCATCTGAATTTATATGCATTTTTTTGCTCAAAAAAATCTCAGCCTTACAAATTCTGTTTATCGCGTGTATTATAGTGTTTACCTTCTAAAAGATGTTTGAATGGCAGATGTGATCCTCTGTCCATTATGTCTGTCCACTTTGCTCTCTCATGCAAAATTACGTAGTCTCACTTATTAATATTGCTAAAATTATAATCTTAATTCGTCATGTTAATTCAAAAAGTAGACCGTCCATGTTAAAATTGAATTTGGAACTCATACATCAAACACCTCCTAAATTTGCATTCAATGTTATGTGCCATATCAGCAGTATTAGTAAGTGGAACTACGTAGTTTTGTATTAGAGAATAGATAGGTGCATAGTAAATGTTTACAAATCTAAGGAAGCTGAAAATGACGAGAAAATATAACAAGAAATTGTAAAAACAAGAAGCTCATGGTTATAGGTTTACCCCATAGGAAAATGGGCAACATTCCAATACAAGGTACCCTGGCAAAAAGAAATGCTACAAAACTGAACCCTAAAGAATCAATACAACTACCTATTGCCTAACATCAACAGGCATTCCAAGATTTGGGACGCCTAGAATGCGTTCTGTATGGATTAGAATCCATCGAGTATCAACTGAGTGTCAAATCCAATTAGGAATCAACAGTAAACTTCCTTTTCAACTTTTAAATCATCAGGTGAAGATGGAATGGAAGAACCTTGTTTACAACAAAAGGTAAAAGTTTAACACTAGAAAGTGTCTTGGTCCACAAATTAGAAACCATCTGTAAGGGCAAATACTCGGCCTGCCAAAGGTGGAGCCAGTGAAGAAATTGCGTGTTGAATGACCTGATTGACAGAAAAAACAGATTTTGATCATCAGATCATGCAAGAGGAAGAAGGGGGAAAAGGAAAAAGAAAGAAGTGAAATAACTACATGAATGTTAATGAAAACAAGTAAATTTCTGGTGCTGATAATTTGAAATATCACATTTTTGGCATAATGTAGAAACCCAGGAATAATCGTCAAGCTTTAACATGCCAATTGGGTAAGAGAACTCCACTTTAACTCGACTTCCTACTGGTCACCAATCAGCCAAAGATTTTGTTAAAAAAGGGAAAATAGGATTTATCATGCTTGCTATGTCAGATTTGTCAACAGAAAGGAGTAAAACATAAGGATATCAGTGTTTAAAGAGTCAAATTCCTTTCGAAGATAGAGGACAACTTACATCCAATTGATAGCGAGACGAAAAGTGGATCAAAAGAATCGCTTTGTTTTCAAACAGATCTGCATGGTGAATTATCTGCACAAATATACCAAAGCAACATCATACATCAACTGCAGTAAGGAGATTAGAAGGTAAGAAATGGTGAAAACTCAACCTCTGACAAATGCGTGTGCCCATAATCCCTTGCATCATCCACCGTCATGGTGTCTTCAACATATGTGCTCTTAATAGAAATCAAGACAAAGGAAACTGTGTCAGAAAAAATCAGTCTCTTAAATAAATACCACAAGGTAAGCAACACATGTTCGAAGATAACAGCTTTCTAACTCCCAAAATCACCACATGCTGTTATATATATAGCTGTTTAATAAAGCTTGACTCGAGTTGTTAGTAGCATCAATGCCATGGCTTTGAAGTCCCTTTTGCTGTTTTATCGTATTGAATCTCTGTGCCACTCATTTCGCTATAACAAGCAATCACATGTTAAAAGACTCCCAAAAACTCTATACAACAAAAACATATGTCTCCATCTAAACTAGATAGTCACATAAATGATTCTTTTTTTTTTAAATTTTCTAAGGTTTTTTTACGGCACAACTACATTAATGTAGTTCTTCCAAAAGTTAGGTTGGATATAAACAAGTCTACACAGATCTAATGAAAACTTATGACAGAAAACACCAAAGTGCAGTCATAAGATGATAGGAAAACATAAAATGCATATTATTGTGATTGATAAAGCTCTACACAATATACATATACATATCCATATACATATACATATATATAATGCAGCCATTGAGAAGAAGTTTCTAGCCATTATCTCTGCTTTCTTCATGAAAAAGAAAAAAGAAAAGAGAAAAACCCCAGAGCCATATCATAGAAAAGGGAAAAAAATGAGGAGAAAAAATAAAAAAAAAGAAAGAGAAAAGGCATGACATGGCATGGCTTGGAGATCTTGCACTCAGCCACAGGATGAACATGACTTGGCAGTTGCCTGGATGCTTGGCTCAGCTCGATTATTGGGGTTAATTACCTGATTATTGCAAGTTTTGTTAAATTCTACTGATCATTTTTTAAGCCGTCCAAAAGCACTAGTTACCCTAGCAACTTTACGTCTAACTAAAAATGCTACTCAAAGGTTTAGCTATTTCTCTACATACATCCAAGTTCAGAAAACCAAAACAAAACAAAAAGAAAAAAAAAGTGTCAGCTTCAACAGTTCAATGATTCTTTTTGACGAAGTCTCCTTAAATTGAGCCCCTCATGAAGCCTGCTTTTGGTCTAACCTCACTTTCCTCCTCAAAATCCCATGCAAATTGATTCTTCTGTCTCTTTCCTCTTAAAAGAAGACATTTTCATCCTCCAAATCTGTCTATGCATCAGAGGCTCCAAAAGCTTTAAAAACATGTGCACATGGCAGACTAGGACTCCAGTAACATTTAAAAGCCTCAAATTCTCTTCAATGTCAAAACCTATTTTAACTGTGTCCAAGGCAGGGGTTTGGACAACATAAACTTATAAAGATGCTAATCGAAGTAGTTGCTTTGAGCCAGACTCCTTATAGTCACTACTTCAATTAGCATAACCTCTATCTTTGAAGACTAAAAGAAAATGATTGGTAAACTGTGAAATTAGATAAAAAGTTGCAAATATTCAGGTAACTAACCCCAATCACTGTATTATTTTGCTTGCAATCTAAGACACAAGTTGAATACAAACAATTATGCATACAAGCCAAAACAATTAACAAAATCACACGAAGGGCATGCATAAGCATAACCCAGTACGTCAAGTTAAGTCCACATTTTCAAGTTACTTCTTTCACTATAAATAACAATGATAAATGACCACAGACGTCCAGAATATCAGTCACAGTTAGGGTGTCATACTTCCATAATAAGGACCTTTGCTCTTAAAGCATCAATATTGTTGCTATCCACAATGAAGTCTGACGTTGTGTCTCCTGTGAAAGCAACTTCAGGCGTTGTTGTAGTATATGTAATCTGCCAAAGGCAACAACAGTCAGTCATTCTCTCAGCTATTGAGTGAAATAAATAAAAGTTACTGTTTATCAATTTAAATTAATAGGCTCAACCAAACACAGCACCAGATATGCGCAAGGCAATCTAATGAGAAGTATGAGTTATAGTGCTATGAGAACAAATTCTAAAATCATTTAAGCATCAAAGCCCAAGAAACACCAATATTATTCATTTGAAAACCTTCCTCCAACTTGCAAAGAAGAACAATCAAGATTAAAGAAAAGCAATGCATATTTATGCAGGTATTAGCATGCTGCACAACAAGAAAACTAGACTACAAAAGTGAAGTAAATGCTCGAAAAAGCTACTTCTGTTTGGCAGCCTAGAAGTAATATAGAGTTATCAAGGCACAGACCTCCACACCTGATAACCTCAATTTCTTTATCTCGTTCCCTGGAAGCCCAATATATTCGTCCTTAAGTTTCTGCTTTACTGAATAAACTACATAACCCTATCATTCAGGGTGAGCAGAGGAAATTAAAGCCTGAAACAGTACTATGGATGATTGTTATAAGGTTCAAGAGAAGACACCTGGCTGGGTATGACATGGTAAGTCTTGAAGGCTTTTACTTTAAGGTCCTTTCTCAAGTAAAATTCTTCTCCTGCAGAGAAAAACAATTACATTGAGGTGATCAAATTCAAAAGACCCTACATCCATTCAAAACATAACTTTTCTGAAATAAATGTATAAACCAAGTGTTAATTAGAAGATAGTTATTACCCACATCCAAGCCAATCAAAGTATGGTTCAATTCTGATTGATCCATATCTCTATGTGCTTGAAAAATCGTTTCAACATTTTCCTTTATGGTTTTTGGCACAATTACAGTTGGGGCTGCCATTCTGTATAATCCACGAGTTGCAACAAACATTGGCAGTCCTCCCTGCAAAACAGCAATACGTGCAGTAAGCACTATATCATAAACAATTTAACCAACTCATGGCTCGCAAACTTAGATCTTACACCTTAGTTCTTTACAAAGCTTAACAAAACTATCAATGCATAACAAGCATGGCACGATATGGCATGAAATTTGGGAATTATCAAAGTAACTAATCAACAGAAACTTAAGCAACCCATCCTGATTTTCCATAAGATTTCCAATGAAGGGCACTGCAAGCAAACATGGATGGTAAAAACTAAATCTCCTTATATAAAATCCAATTTTCTAGTGCATATCCACAATCAAATTCTTTAACTCCAGTAAACAATGACATTTTTTTGGTACAACATTCGATAATCAAGAGTACCATTCTCTGCTTCCCAAAGATTTTCTCTTTTACAAATTCTCTTTAATCCAGCCTACTTGCAAAATATACCGTAAACAAGCATTCCAAGTTCCAACTGAACCACACATCTGCATCTTACCAGCAATCTAGACTCGAAGTAGAACTGTGAATTCAAAAAGAAAATATTGCAAGTAATCAAACACTAAAAGCACACACAATATAAGAGCTCCAGAAACACCAAGCAAGTATGATCTTTTTCCATATAAATTACTTAATTTAACGCACCCCACTACAAAACACAACTAAAAGCAATAAAATCAGAAGCCAGATTTTCCCATGTCAATCTAGACTCAAAATAAATCAGTGAATTCACAATGAAACTATATCAGGTAATCAAACACTAAGAACACGCAAGCACGGACACAAAATAAGAGCTCAGAAACACCATAACAATACGACCATTTTCCAGCAAAATTACTTAAATTTAACTCACCCCACCCCAATAACACAACTAAAAAGCAAAAAATTCAAAACCCAGAGTTTCCCAGGTCATAATGGAAGAAATTCACAAATTGCAGCAGAAAAATTGCCATAAAAAAGACGCAAGTAGAAAAGAGTTCAATTAATCACAAGAAGAAAAACTACATACAATGTGATCCATGTGGCCATGGGAGATAAAGAGGAACTGTTGCGAAATAGCACGTTGTGGGCATTTTCCAATGTCAAAAGCTAAGTTGAGAGAAGGGATTATCACGCAGGTCTCATGCCCTGCTATTGATATCCCTTCAATTTGATACCCTTCAATTTCCAATCCCCTCTTTCCTTGCTCCCTTCTTTGGCCACCGAATTTGCTCTTCTTCTTCTCCTCCTCCATTTTTGGGTTGTAAATTCTACTACAAATTTCTGATTTTCAACAAATGTTTTTTCTAATTAAGTAGCTACTTCTTAATCGTATACCAGCAGAGAAACCGGAGTGCAGGAAGAGAGGTTTTATTAGGATGAACTATTTGCATTCTCCGGGTTTTACCCTTCTTAGCTATTCATTAATCATTATTCATGAGTCTTTGTCATGAATGAAAAATAGGGTTAAATTCCCTTTGTCCCTCAAACTATGCGCAGAATCTCACTTTAATTCCTAAACTTCAGAATTGGACAATTAAATCCTTATACTACAAAGTTTGTCCTACTTTATTCTAATTTTGGATGAAGTGCACAAAGTTTAAAGAAATAGTTGCCAATTTATTATAGGAAAATTTGTCAAATTGGTCCCTAACATTTTCACAAAAAACTTTTTTAATCCCTAACATTTAAAATTAGTCAGAATAGTTCCTATCATATAAATTATGAGCCAGTTTGGTCCTAATGCTCGTATTTGCTCTTTTTTCGGCCAAAAATAGCACAACGGCATAATTTCAAGGACAAAATTGAAAACATTCGTTAATTTCGACCTTTTTCTTTCTTTCTGATGGCAGCTTGTATAGCCAGATTTCTGGAATTAGCTCAAAGGTTTTTGAGAATCTGGAAGCTTATAATGGGAAAGGAACAAGTGGTGGGGGGGGGGAAATAATGGAAAGGTCAGGAGAAGGAGGGGATGGTGAAGATGGGGGTGGCGATGGGACAAAGGTAGTGGTGATAAGGGCGGAGGTGGCGATGGTGAAGGGTGGAGGGGATGGGATGGTGGGTGCGAGAAAGGAATTGCAGGTGGTGGGGTGAAGGTGAAGGTGATACAGGCGGCGATGACAGTTGAACAAGTGGCGGTGAAGGGACTACGGGTGGAGGCAGCGATATGGCTGGTGGTGAAGGTATGAGCAGTGGTGGTAGCACTACAAGTGGAGGGGAAGAAAGTAGCAGTGGCTGTAAAGGAATGAGTGGAGGAAGAGGAGGAGAAGGCTGCATAATTGGCGGCCACGACAGAGTCGGGCGGGGAGAGGGAGTTGGCCTAGGTAGGAAAGGGTTGTTTCCGTAAGACCTTGAGAAAGGCCATTTCCCACAGCTTCCAAATAAATATGAATAAAGGGGACCACAATTTGATGATCCTCTTGATCTTCTTCCTCTGTTGCGGTCTCTTCTACTGCCACCACTGCTCCTCCTTCTACTGCCAACTCTATTTCTTCTTCGAGCACTTCTTAGTTCTTGATCCTCTTCTTGTGGACTCAATTTTGTATGGTTATCCTTGGGATGGTTTCTAGAATATTCTGCAAATGATGAATTGACAAACACCAATGCTATCAGAGTCACTACCAGTATGTTTCTTTTCATCCTCAGTATTTTTGGTCGTGTGTGTTAGATCCCAACTCAAAACCTTTGAGCTAATTCCAGGAATCTGGCTATGCAAGCTGCCATCGGAAAGAAAGAGAATGGTGAAAAATTATGGATTATCGAATGTTTTCAATTTTGCCATTGAAATTATACCGATGTGCTATTTTTAGCCCAAAAAAAAGAGCAAATACGAGCATTAGGACCAAACTGACTCACAATTTATATGTTAGGAACTATTCTGACTAATTTTAAATGTTAGGGATTAAAAAAGTTTTTTGTGAAAATGTTGGGAACCAATTTGGCAATTTTTCCTTTATTATAATTAAAGTCAACAAATTCATAGGACAGAAATGTCCTCATCACTCCAACCACCATACCGCTATCTCTATTTCTATTGCAAGCTCTACCTTTCATCATTCTCACACATATCTATATTTTGCTACTCAACTAATTTTTTGAGAATAGGGGTATTTGGAAAAAAAATCACCCAAATAGAACTCTTCGTGGAACGAATTTGAAATTAGGTCCAATGCATTCACAAAATACTATAATTGCAAATTCATTGTAATAAAAATTTATGGGAAATTTGCCAAATTGGTCCCTAACATTTACCAAAAACACTTTTTTAGTCCCTAATATATAAAATCAGCCAAAATTGTCCTTCACATTTAAATTGTGATCCAATTTGGTCCTAATGCTCGTTTTTGCTCCTTTCTCCGGTTAAAAATAACACGCTCCTCTTACGTGGTCATATTTTCAAGGGCAAAAGTGGAAAACACAAATTCTAGATTCACTGGGGACGATCCCTGACCTCATTATCTTTATCTTGCTTCGACTCTCTAAGGACAGGTTCACCACAACGGTGACTGAGTTCACCTGAACAGAAACATATTTGGAGATGATCAGAGGCCGGAGAGCCGAGAGTAGACACGCAGTGTAGAGATTCACCCGGGATTCCTCCTGGTTCTGTGGTTAGTTTCTTGAGGGAAAATAAAGCCTCCTCTTGCTCGAACACTTGAAAGCTCCGGAGCTTGGTCATGAACTTGTCTTCTTCGAGGGAGCTAGAGTGACACAAGGACTCACATCTGAGGAGGACGAAGAAGAGCAGCAACAATAGGGGCAGGTGGTTAAAGGTAGAGGAGTGGTGGGCCTGTTGATGACATTGGCAGCCGTCACGAATTCCTTGGAGCTAGCGGAAACTTGACTAGGCGTTTGAGTAAAGCTTTTGTTTCCACTTTTGCCCTTGAAAATATGACCACGTGAGAGGGACGTGCTATTTTTAGCCGGAGAAAGGAGCAAAAACGAGCATTAGGACCCAATTGGATCACAATTTAAATGTGAAGGACAATTTTGGCTGATTTTATATATTAGGGACTAAAAAAGTGTTTTTGATAAATATTAAGGATCAATTTGACAAATTTTCCAAAATTTATTATGACCACATATTAAAACACTACTTCCTCGTTATAGCCTTATAGGTAAGCTTCCCAACTACATAGCACAAACTTTTCATAAAATCTGCAATAATAAAAAGGGCATGTCATCCCACTATGTTTTTTTTCAATAGAGTTACTTTTTTCAATTATTTTGAGAAAGTGTACATTCTAAAATTTAGTAAAATAAAATGTGACTACTTCTAAAATACAGTGGCTCAATTTTGAGAAAGTGCACATTCTAAAAATTTACTCCATTCGTCCCACTTTGATAGTCCTAATTTTTTTTCACACACTTCAAGAAAAAGTAGTTAACTTTATTGGAACAATCAATTTAAGTAGCTATTTTCCTAAAATACCCTCACATTAATTAAAGTACAACTTTATGGGAACTTGGATTGATAATAAAAAAAATTAACTCGGGGTAGGTTTATAGTAACAATAACTTACATTGAATAAGGGTATTTTAGAAAAATTAAAATACAACTATATTTTTTAATTGAAAAGTGGACTATAATTAGAGATGGCAATGGAGACGGGTGCCCGCGGACAACCGCCCCGCAGGGGACTCTCGGGCGCGGGGGGGGAGTATACTCCCGTCCCGTCACCTGCAAAAAAAAATTATATATATATAAATAAATATATATAAATATATATAATATGTAATTTAATTAGTTATAAACTTATGATAATGATATTATTAGTTAGATGTATTATATAATGTATATTAGTGTATGTAATATAATTGATATTATCAATTATATGAATAATTAGACATGTCTACTAATAGAATTTATTAATTAGTTATACTAAATTTACTAATACATTTATACTAAATTTTTAATTACACTTAATAGAATAACACTTTTTTCTCAAAAAAAAAACACAAACACAATAATGAATTAGTGATTGTATTTGTACCAAAAGTGAAAACTTAACTATTTTAGTTGTATTTATTTCATCATGTTGGATTGTATTCAAATAACTTTTGTTTGATTGTTTTTATGAGTTTCAATTGTAAAATTACAATGAATAATAACTTGATGATGCGTTGATATTTTAGTACTTGATTATTTATTAAAATTTAACTATAATAAAATTTTATTAACCCCGCGAGAAAAATTTTATTAACTCCACGGGAGAAGCGGGGCGGGGCGGCTGCAGGGCAGGAGGAGTGGGAGGAGGGTAGAGGTATCAAAATGAGTGACTTGCGCGGGTTTGGGTTGGGTAAAATGGGTAATGGGTATAAGTGAGTCAACTCATTTATACCCATTTAATTAGATGGGTATAAATAGGTAAGTCAAAAAATGAATTAGGTAACTCAATTACCCATTTATAACCCATTTATTTTAACTTTTTGTAACTCATTTAAATTCATACCACTCTTTGTACCCATCATTAGTTTTAAATATTTATTTATAATGTTCAATAAACTTAATTACCATTTTTTTTCATATATACTCTATGTCACAAAATTACCTATTATTTAATAATTGAATAATAAGAATATAAAATTTTGAACTAAGTACTATAAAAATTAATATAAAAACGTAATCCAAAAATTTTGAACCCCTAACATTTTTTTCATATATAAATTTAAATTTTCATTTTAGAAAGATAAGAAAATAGGCTAAAATTTATTATAAATTAGTAATGCTGAAAAATGAGCAAGTTAACAAACTAAGAGAAAATAAAATAATAAGATAAAATCAACAAATAATAATAATAATAATAATAATAATAATAATAATGAAATAAAAGTAGTTAACATTATGACAAAATGAAAAATTTGAAAAAAAAAAATGGGTGGGGGAAAAGAAGAGACTTGGGGGAAGAGAATTCTAAATGGGTTAATTGGGTTTGATGGGTTACCCAATAATACCCATTTAATAAATGGGTATTATTGGGTAACCCATTTATACCCATATATAAAAATTTAAAATACTCATACCCATCTATTCATGGGGGCGGGTATGGATAAATTTAATTAATTGGGTTGATTTGCCACATCTAGAAGAGGGGGCGCGGGCGGGGGTTGGGAGGAATTAATAGGCAACGGGGTGGGGGGCGGATATAATTTGGGATAGACGAAAAAGAAAAAAAAGTCTATCAAAATGAGACGGAGGGAATAGTAAAATAAAATATAAAATAAAATATGACTACCTCTAAAATACAGGGGTTCCATTACAGTGAACCCCAGCGGAAATAATCGTTTTGCTTACCTATACAGCTAGGGAAATTCAGCATCTTTTGCTTCCAATACCTAAACCCTTTACGCAACCCGAAAAAGATGGACCCGTGGCACCACCACGCTCCTCCTCCTCCTCCGCTTACCAATTGGTGGAGCACCACCACCTCAGGCGGCAACAATCTGCCCTGTTTGCTCAATGTATCACTTCCCATTCTGCCCTCCACCACCACCTCTTCCTCCTTTCTCTCAAACATCCATCCATCCCTCATCAATACCCCCCACCACCACCTCCCCTGATCAATTTTACCACCCCAGACCCCTCAACATCCGCCCCCTCTCCCACCCGCCCCCCACCTTCTGCCTACGATCCCTTTGTTGACCACCAATCAGGGCCAGCTGCAAACCCCCGTCAGCAGCCGCCTTGGATCCCAAGTTCTGGTTTTGATAAAGACCCAGATGGGAATATGTATGCTAATAGTCATTCCACTTATGCTGGGGCTAAAAGAATGAGGTTTGATGATTCGGGCTTTTCGCCAAGCCCGGCCGCACCCGTCTGTGGCTGCTGAGGATGAGAGAAGATTAAAGCTGATTCGCGATCACGGTGGGGCAATGAGTGGGGAGTCCAGAAATTCTGCTACTAATTTAGGGACGAGTAATTCTTTTGATCCTGGTTATTGTGATTATGTCCCAAAATCGAATTTTGGGCATGATATTGATCGTAGTAGTTTGCATCAGAATAATGTGTATGAATATAGTAGACGTAGTTTGAATAGCATGGAGCAGCTCAGACAAAATCAAGAAAGAATGGGCTTCAATCGGCATGGTGTATCAGGGGATCAATATGGTAACAAGCAAAATGTTAGTTTGCCGAACCAAAACGGGCAGAATATTGGCTGACTCAGAATTATAGGGTGTTTAGTAGCCAGCCTCCACTTCCAGTCTCTCCACCTCCACCTCTTCCTGTGGATCCCCCAGGGCAGCATATGGTGCGGCCTGTTGTCTCATCATCACCATCTGGTACATCTCCTTCTTTGTTCCCGGTTGCTCCAGGTTCTTCAACCGGCGTTCAGTCATCCTCATATCATCCTGTTCCAGAATTGAGTTTATTGGCTGCGCATCAACCCATTAGAGGCAATCTCCATGCTTCTACCAGCTTTGGCTCTGAGGTAAGCTGCAAAATGCCAAGGCTTGTTAATCATATGTGTCAATGCAGTCATACTTACAAAATTTTCAAGAATGTGTTTTTGATGCCTTTTGGTCAAAGCAAACACTATTGGACTAAGTGGAGATCAATAAATAGGAAGCATTAATATCTTATTGGCTGATCTCTAATGGCAGGAGTGTGCTGTCTATGTAGCCTGGCAACATCTAGCATGTTGGTTATCAGCCTCTTCATTTGTAGGACACGGACCTGTTTGACACACATAATACGCTTTCATTTTCTGGAAATATAGCGAGGTTGGGGTGGTGAGGATGTTTTCTGAGAAAAGCATTATTTTAGCGAACCCAATGAATTTATCTGCAAACCTGGTTACATTAGTAAACTAGTTTATGCTACCAAATGTTGGACCTGCATAGTGTATGTGACACTCAATAATATCTTACCAGTCACATTTCACTAACTAGTAAAAGTATTCTTATTACCAAAATTTGGACCTCAAGTGGGGTAACTGTCTCTGCAATATCTTGCTAGTCACCCGCCACTACCTCCTGGCAACATTCTTATGCTGTAAACTAAGTCATTGTTCATTTGAAACAGTTGAAATCTACAAAATAGTTCAAATATGTTTCTCATTTTAAACGTCATCACACTTTCTTGTGATGTTATTATGTTTTAGCTGGAGGGTGATCACAGCTGCACTATTTTCTTTCATTTTGTAAATGTCTGAACAGATGCTTGTGTGGCACACATACACTCACTCTCCTGTGGAATTGTTCTATTACATAATTCTTTTTAATGTTGTTTCAGAACCTCCGGGACATTTAAAGCCAATTTTCAAGCTTAAATTTCTTTCTCAAGAATATCACTGTTTTACTTCTATCTTGTTTCCTTTTTCTGAGATATAGTATCAATTCCGGTGAGTTGTATCTGGATTTTCATGCTTCTTAGTGCATTGTAATTACATTCCGGCTTGTTAATTGAGATGATGGTATGTGAAAAACATGGAGTGTACTGGACTACCTTTTCTTGATAGAGGTTCTGTGACTTGAACTAGCTTTCTCATATGAGAGCAAAGAACTTTCACCGGCTGCTAGCTTTCCTTTCTCACAAGGGATTCAGGAGAGCACTATTAGGTGTCTGATTTGAAATGAGAATCTTTTACATAGTATACTTGGTCATTCTACTATTGTAAATTTTTTGTGTTTTTCATTGATTTTCTCTTTTCTTTGTGTATCTCCTCTTGCTTGTCGGTCAGAGATCTAATAGTTACCATGATTGTCAGGATTTACAAGGTATACGACAAGCACCATATAAAGCATACTTTGGAAGAAGTGAAGTAATTCCGCAGCAGCCTCTATCACCTAACAAACCTAAAGTTGTTGATGCCACTCACATAATAAAGCAACCCCATCGGGTGAATCGTCCCGATCACATTGTCATTATTCTTCGTGGTCTTCCAGGTTTGTCCCCTTCCCTTTCCTTCTTATAAAGATACGTGCTCCTTTGCCCATCTGCTAAAGGTTTTGAGTACATCGTCCTCAAAGATAGGGGATTGTTGACTCAAATGAAATCATATGAGGCCAAAAGTTACCATCTTTCTTCAACCAGCTTTTTATCTTCTTGTAAAGAGTAAAATAATTAATGTTAGGAAAACTGACTGTATTCAGGAATAAATCAAGGATGTACATTTTTTTAGTTGTATTTTGTGCTAATAACTCGAAATTTCACAAACAGCATGCCTGCTTTATATGTAGCATTCTATGAGAGAAATTGGAACTTTTTGCTGTGAAGCATGGTATGCTATCTGAAACCTAACAGCAATTAATATATTTTTAGGTAGTGGGAAGAGCTACCTGGCAAAAATGTTGCGTGACCTAGAGGTTGAAAATGGTGGTAATGTGCCACGGATACATTCCATGGATGATTATTTCATGACTGAAGTTGAAAAGGTTTTCATGAACTCTTCATATTATTATTCTTTCTACAGCTACTGTCTAAAGCTTACCGATCCCATTTCTCTATTTTTGTTTATCTTTTTATTGCTCAAATTTTACTTTTCTTTGTGCTTGTTTCTTGGAAAATGTCTATAGTAACTACATGAAATTCCACAGGTTGAGGAGAGTGAGTTTCCGAAGCCATCTGGTTCTGCTAGAGGGAAAAGGCCAGTAATGAAGAAAGTCATAGAGTTTTGCTATGAACCTGAAATGGAAGAGGTCAAAATCTTGTGAATGATCCTCATTTTAAATTTTTTTTTTGGAGATGAATGTATGTGGATAAGGCCACCATGCACATTTCAATGGCTGCAATTGACATTTAATAATTGTTTCAGAAATTTGTTAAGTAGATGCTTCTGTCCTTAAAGTTTTCACGAGTCTGTCAGAAATGGGCCTTTGACTGGCAACAGCTTTGACTGAATTACCTAGTCTAATTTTTGTAGTACCTGTTGTACAACACAACAGAACACTAATATTAAAAGTGCTAATTTTGTGGCTGCCAGCTCAATTTAAGGCAACTTTATCACCCATGCCTCTTTGACTTAATGAATGTCATGCTTATTTATGCCAACACTGAAAACCTTTTTTTTTTTTTAATTTTTATAATCACTTGTAGTTTCAAAATTCATAAAACAATGCAAAGTTGAATTTATTGCGAACGTAGGAAGTTCTGGTTTCAGCTTCTGAAATTTATCATTGTGGCTGTAGGAGTAAGGAAAGTTTATGCTGTATTCCTGTTTCTTTATCTATTTTTACCAGCAGATGGCTGTACAATTTTTTGAAAGCTTATTCTTGTGTTTCTCAGTACCTAACAATTCGTAAGTCGTCATGATCATGTTAACGTGTCTCAAACAAAATGTTTCTAAATGTATATCTGCACCCTCATTTTGCTACTAGTGTCTTGGGGTGGTCACTTTAAATGGTGTTTTTTTTTCGAGCTTTGACCTGTAATATTGGCTTTTCATGAACATGCTAAATGCTTTGCCAAGAAAAATATTTGTTTATCCTAATCAAGACTGCAGGTGATTGTAGTCCATTTTTTAGCTGTTTAAAGTTTTTGGGGAATATGTGAAGTAGTTTGTACATTTATCTCTTCCAAAGCTGTAGTGATGGCACCTTATGGATGACATAAATCCAAGTGTCTGTAAGAATTGCTGTTGTTTTCTGTGAATGTGAATATGTCTCTCCTTTACACTCCTGTTGAAATTTAGAAAAGTAACAGAAGCACAAAAACAAGAATTAAAGAAGTGCTTTAGTTCATTATCTGTGCTTGACTGCTATGGAATCTCTTTATCAGTCTGTTATTTGTGTCTGTCATAACTTCTTAAGCTGCCATTTAGTTTGTATGATATGCATGTCACCAACATTGACAATATTTCTTTGAATCAGGCTTATCGATCAAGCATGCTGAAGGCATTTAAGAAGACCCTTGATGAGGGGGTTTTCCCTTTCGTAATTGGTATGCTATTGGGGATTAAAAACTCCATGAAATTTGAACTATGAAGCTATTTTTAGTTCAAATTGCTTTGTTTTCTCTAATTGTTATTGAAGATTTATACCTTCTTGTGGGTTATTATCATAGTGGACTTCTTTTCCTGTGAGATGCAGATTGTTTGAATTCTGTTGAAAAGTTTATCACGCTGAGTTCATTGATAATGTTGCACTCTGCTCTCTTGGTCCCCATGGTCTATTGAGTAAGTGGTGGCTTGTGCTAGATATTCTTGATGTAGGAAGTTGGAAAGAGTTTTACGTGTTGAACTATAGGATTTAAGATATTACCTAGAGCTCTATAAGTTTACTAGTCAACCTAAGGTTCAAAGATCTAGTCTGATTGTAGATTAAGTGGTAATGCAGTGCTTCTGCATCGCGTTCAGTTTCACTAACTACAGATGCAGTGTTGTTCGGCTATTGACCTGTTTCTTGCTGGTATTTGTGCCTCATTTAGTGGATGACCGCAATCTGCGGGTAGCTGATTTTGCTCAATTTTGGGCAACTGCAAAGGTATTTACTTCTTCACTTGTTATTGATGATCTGTATGCTTTCTGTTCTCATTATCTTATTTCTTGGAGATATTTTGATGATTGATCGCTGCATTTCCTTTCTCATTAGTTGCATTCTTGAAAAGAAAATGAGCTAAGCTTGCATAGAGATGCTCTAAACAGAAGAAAAGGGATAAATTATTCAAAAATAGTTGAGAAGCAATATAAACAGAAATAGATTTGTGGTCTTTATAGTAGTATTTTCTCTTGTTCAAATAGAACACATATCTGCCCATTTTATGACTGAGGTAATGGATTTGCTGCAGGATGCTTAAACTCTAAAGGTGAAGAAATGATGAAAAAACGTTGTTCTTGTTTTGTATCCAATCAGCGGACTTCTGGCAGTTTACCATTGATGAAAAGGATTTATTTAGTGAATTTTGTATAGCTTTTGTCACAGTTAATGCCAAACATTCTTGCTTTTGAGAAACATAATTGATTTACTATTTATTGAGCCAAAATGGAGACAAATAAATGTGATTTTGAAACTGCATTAGAATGGTCGAATTAGTTTGATATTTGGTGTGATTTTGCAATGCCAAAATTCTTTCCACTTCACCTTAAAAGTCATATTCATTGAATGTGAAAATTAAATTCAACGTTTTAGATAGTTATCCTAATTGAAAGATTTGGATTGTCCTCTGTTCTATTTTAAAACAATTAAGAACAAGTATAGTTAATAAGGTCGACTATTATTCAAGAAATAGTTATACTCCAATGCTATTCGTTGGGTTATTGTTTAGGAAAAGAAATTTGTTGATTGATTAATTTAGTATCAGGTAGAATTGAAACCTTATCATAGATGATCAAATTTGGTATTTCTTATGGCAATTTACTTGTTGTGACAAGTACAAAGGGGATGCAGCTCAATTTACTATGACGATGAATAAGCTGTATGAGAAACCTTACTGCAAGAAAGTTAAAATCTTGTTAGCTTAGGAAAGAGCTATGGAAACGTAATGAGACTAAAGTGTTGCAATAGTTTGATTGCTAAGTTAATGGTAGAGGTAGGAAAATTGCACATGGGAGCAGAATTTAGATGAAAAGCAAAGAATGCTGGAGGTTTCCAAGTCAGCTTTTGTTCATGCTGACTTACCATATTACTCTATAATTAGTTAGAGATACATTCACACCCTTTGCATGTTTCTGTGCGTGTATGTATGTCTGAGTATATCTTTTAAATATGGCTTTTCTTTATTTATCTGTTTTGTACATGTGTCAGTGCATCTTTGCTCAAATATTTTCTTTGTCAGAATAAGCTTGAGTTGTTAATAGGAAAATATATCAGATAGAGAAATTTTTTTAGACTCATTTGTCTTCTTGTTTTCTTTGTCCTCAGGCATAGGAAATTGTATTCTTTCTTTTGGCATATCTTGGTTTCAAAATGTCTTGTGTTTCCTGTTGGTTTCAGGAAGCTGATCTTTTTTAGTTTTTTTCATACAGAGCAAGAGTTTGGCTTTCTTCTAGTGTTATACATTCTTTTTGGTTCAAATGTTTGAAATTGGAGGTGTTTTTTGTTGATTTGTTCTGTATTTTATTAAACTGCATTTCTGTAATGTTTTCACTTTTTATTTTCAGATCCTTTTAAATTCTTCTTGTTCGGCTGTGAAGTGTGAGATTTGAGTATTACTAATTATCAATCCATATTTGTTACCACTGCATATTTAATTCACTAAGGATAGTTAATTGAAAAACCAAAGGAGATAAACTTAATCTTTTACGTATTTGTCCTTTTGTGCCATCGAATCATTATTAAACTTCGTTTTTGATAAGTTGGTCATTGACACCATCTAGAGTGTGGATTTTTGATCTTCCATCTGTCTCAGAAGATATTTGTTGTTTATGGTTAGATAATTGGTGGTGAAAATCAGATCCTTTACATTGAAAGGCATTTTACCTCTGGGGCCTGGCTTGTCCAAAGCTTTGAGCAAGATTGGTTCCTTGGCTGAGAGTGGTTGAAGTTCCATCTACAGTCCAGATTTATTTTTCCTGTTTAAACTTGAGTTCTGCTGAGTGAGTGAGAGTATTTGAAGAGTATTAATCTGTCAATCTTCCAGTGAGAGAGTATTTGAAGAGTCTCAATCTGGTAGGGGGTTTTTTTAGTTGGGTTTCTCTAACAGTTACTGCATGGGAACTGTTTGAATGGCTGCCAGTAAAAGTGAGGTTAAATCAGGAATGTGTCTAAATGCAAAGGGAGGCAGTAATTGAAATATGTGTACTCAACCAAGCCCCTTGGTTACTGTTGGAAAAATCCTTGTTAATTTACCCTTAAAATGCTTGACTAGTTTCTTCTCAACAATCCATTTGTATGAGGTTTGCTAAAAGTTCCTAGGCCAGCATGAGCAGTCTCCATCTGCCTCATCTAATACTTTGCCTTTTTGGTTTTTCATACTTCTCTTTCTTTACATAGATATTCGTGAATGTCAAAAGTTTGACGAGTCTGTCAAGTACGCATCATATGTGATGGCAAATTCCAATTGATTTTCTCTTTTCTAGCTTTCAAGAATATATTCAACATGGTAGATGCAGTTCATGGAATGTATTTTTGCAACATTTGCAACTTGTGTTCTTTTCTGTTTGAATTTAGTATTATTTTGCTTGTTCCAGTTCTTAATATCATGGCAGTGCTTTTCATAAGTCAATTGATTAGATTTCTCTTATGTCGTCAACCATGAGTATTGGTTGTTTATGTTCACGGTTGCTGTCAGGTTATGGTTGATAATAATAATCATATAAGGAGGGTAACGTTGAGGTTTCGTAGACCATGCTATTTATATCTGTGTAATGCTAATCTCTTAAGGAGTACTTTGCCAATTGTAGTTGTCCGTTGTCATGTTTTTCCATCACAGTCATGATATCAAAAGCATTGGCTGTCAGATTAATTACATCAAGTGGTTAAGAATATTTATCCCAATATTCTTCTGTTGCCGTTTTTGATGGGCCATTGTCCTAATTGTTGCACATGTGGATTCTATTGTCATTCTTTTGAAACTTTCAACGTTCTGTATTCTTGCAGCTTTTTCTGAACATGGGAGTGCTTTTATTCTTTAAATCAGTTATTTTGGTTTACTCATTGGCCTTTTGTTGTTTTTATTTCAGAGATCAGGTTATGAAGTTTACCTTTTAGAAGCAACTTACAAGGATCCAGCGGTAAGCTCACCCTCACCTTGCTTTATTTTAATGATGAACCATGATTGTTTTACTCAAAATAAGGGAAGCAAAAGAAGTGAACAAATCATGATACTAGCTAGTTATCGATTTATTGGTATATTGTTTGAATACATAGGTTCTGCTTGGTATGAAAAGGATGATTCTGAATTGTTTCTCCTGCATATCACATACTGACATATTAATGGGATTCCAGGGCTGTGCAGCAAGAAATGTACATGGTTTCACCCAGGAAGATATACAGAAGATGGCTGACCTTTGGGAAGAAGCTCCAACCTTGTACCTAAAACTGGACATAAAGGTTTTGTTGACTCATAGTTCCACTGTTGTTTAGTGAGACAATTTTTTTGTTATTCTATTGGATTTTTATGATCATTAGAGGATATCAATATGGATAATGCACTCTACTTCACTCTCTTTTCACAGCCACATTAAAATACACACGAGAAACCAATTTCTAACAGGCTTGCTTGGCATGTATACTTGAATTTTAATGTCCATGTTTTATGATTTCTACAGTCATTATTACATGGAGATGGTCTAGAGGATAGTGGGATTCAAGAGGTAATAATTGCATTATAATATCAATATTACATCCTTCTTTTCTTCAATGTTCCATCCATCCTTTGTTTAATGTTCAGTGAGAGGAAAATAAAGGAGAAAATAAAGAATGAAAAAGAAAAAAAGTATTTGGAGTGTGCAAATTTTTGCTTTTAATAGATAAATGAAATATGCTACTCAAAAGTCAATACTACAGCCTAATCTGGATTCTTTAGAGCTTAATCCCTCGTAATTGGTCATTTATCGGTGGAAAGGAAAACTCCACAAGAAATAAACCAATCACTTCCCAAATATTACTGGTCCAAGAGATTCAGAATTGGCATGAAGTGGCAAAATACAGGTTTTTCATGTTTGTGTTTTGTCGTTGTTTCTTGATTGGATGACAAATATTAATTTGTCATAGTTATCAAACAAATAGTCACATGGAATTGCTCCTTTTACTCAGAAAACACTTATGCTTCTTGTGTAAATGGTATTTCAAAGAAATTCTTGAAGTTTTTTGAATATATAACTCAGTTGTTGCTGTAGTAAATCTGTCTGACTGCAATCGAGATGATTGATTTGTTTTCCTATTCTCGACTGGGCTAAAAATGCAGAAACCCATTTAAAAGTTGGGAAGGGAAAGAGGGGCATTGAAAGAGTAACCAGAAACTTAAATATGAAGTAATGTAAGCAATTCATATTATATCTATTCGAAGAAGTGAGGGAAAGTTTTCTGGTCTATGTTGTGGAGAGAAACAGATTGGTGTTTATGCTGCATAATTTACTTATTGTCTGGTAGTAAATTAAATGCCTGAGATATCTGGTTTCTAGACAGTTTTATCAGTTATTGTTATCAAGCGATGTAATACTCAAAGTTAAGTCTTGCCAGGTAGATATGGACATGGAAGATGGAGACCCTGTTGGTCTCCTTTCTGGTTCTGAAGAAAGAAATGTGGAGAAGCTTGTAATATCCCAGGAAGGAGACCTTGTTGGTAAAGTGCAGTTTCATATGCTTAATATTTTCCTTTTGTCTTTTTTTCTCTAACTTTTGTTATTTATCATGTTAGTGCTAACTATATTGTGAGTGACATATTTCAATCATACGCCACTTGTTTGTTGATGTGTATGTTGTGTTTGTGGAACATGTGGTGTTTGCTAAAGATTACAATGCTATATTGCATGTCTAAATCGTGATTGTCTTTGTTGTGCCATTGAGAATTGGTTGAAGTGGTAGTTATTACGAAGCCACTTCTCTCCTATTCCATAATTTGGTTTATTGAAGATCTGGTATTTGTTTGTCACCACTTATTTTGTGATTCTGGTCATGATTGTTTTGCTCATGAATATTGGTTTCTTTTTGAATTGAATTTTAGATTGTCACTTTATTTTTGCAGCAATTACTTTGTGTTAATTAGAATATCAGAGGGAAGGAAGGGGATAAAGTTATTGTTTTCAGATGATCTTAAAAGCATGGATCTCTGTAGCTTTGAGAGAGCATTTGTTGGATCTAATGATCCACTGGCTGGAAATTTGCTAGTTTATTAATGTTTTGACGTAATGCAATGAGAGCTAAATGGGCGGCATGAATGATGCGAGTTCGCTGCTTGCATCTAAAACCTTGTACCATATATATTAGTCCTGGTCTTGGAATTGGAAAACAAACACATGAATGTTCATGCAGCTAAATAACTTTATATAGATGGATGGGCTGCTTCATTAGGCTAGAATCTCTAGATATCATACTGAAATTTTCTTTTGTTTCGTTCATTTTCTTCAGTATGATTTTCTTCCTCCTCTTAACTAAATAATGTTGGTTTTACATTTTATAGGTTGAATGTTCATATAATATTGTCTTTTAAGATGAGTAAACTGTCTAGTTTGAGAAGGATGTGTGCACATTTGTGTCAGAGCTGAATCTAATTTCAGCATAAATTAGTTAAAATGTATTGTATAGCTTCATAATTTGCTAATTGGAGCATGAATTACACGTAATCCATTTGTGAACAATTGACCAATACCATCTCCAAAGGTATTCATCTTGGTGCAATCTTGTTGCTGTTGGTATGCATTGATTTCATTTCAAGGTAGTGAGCCTTACAGAATTGGTCACATCTCCTTCCTTAGGCCATCCAATATTGAACAGATTACGGGTCTGTTTGGTTGGAAGTAAAATGTTTTCCTTGGGAAAATATTTTCCGTGGAAGTAATTTTCCGTGAAAATCATTTCCCTTTCATCATTTTCAGGTGTTTGGTTAGCTTATTGAAAATATTTTCTTACTTCATTTTTCTGGTGTTTGTTTAACTTTTGAAATATTTTCACTTTTATCTCTATCTTTACTTTCTACATATTATGACTACATACTTCTTCTCATGCAAAATAAGAAAATTTATCTCATTGTTTAACTTTAAAAAATCTTGGAGAAATGTATATATGAATAAAAAATATCTCCTTAAGCAATAAACAAATTGCTGGCCATTTAGTGTCAAATATCAATCACATGCAATGCTTATTGTGACATATATCTTGCACTATCACTGCTGAAACTTTCTCTAGAAAAGAATGTCCCTATTATACATAATTAATTACTAGCATAGGATGAGCAGGATGAGTTTTTTTTTTTATTTTGAATATACCAGGGGGAGGGTGGGGTGGTTGGGTGGTACGAGGGAGGGAGTGTAAGGAAGAGGTCTTGGGTTCGAGTCCTTCTGTTTACACTAAAAAAAAAAAAACATACTACAAGATGATTTCAGTAAGTTTGGAACATACTACAGGCAAGATGCATGCATTTCGGAAAACAACTTCAGTAAGTTTGGAAGGGAAGTTGTTTTCCATAAGATGAGTGAAAATATTACATAGGAAAATGTTTTCAGTAACTTTTGTGCAACCAAACACGGAAAATTAGGAAAATATTTTCCTGGAAAACATTTTCACCCGAAACAAACGGACCCTACACGCTGCTAGTTTTCCAATGTGAACAACTGTATAATAGCAATTCCAGCTTTCTTCCTACTAATTAAAGGTCTTACAAATATACCGTACATATGTTGCTTCATGAAGTGCATCTGAAAACATAAAACGGGATTGTATACATTTTCCACATGGGTGGCTACATAAATGCGCAACCTCTAAGGCCTCATAGACCATATGGTATTGACTTTTGAGATTCTGACAATCTAATGCTATTGTTGCTGGTTCCGAAACCACCTCTGCTTACCAACTGCTTAAGTTACCAAATCTCTCCTAGTCCTATTTTTTCCTTTTCCCTCCCATTCCGTCAATCCAAACAATTCCTTAGGCTTGAAGCCTTCTGCAATGCATTGGGAAAGTAGGATTTGGAAGCAACAGAATGCAAAAATGCATTCTTGCAAACGCTAATTACAATAAGCCTAACTCCCCCCTCCCTCCCGGCGGTCTCTCTCTCTCTCTTCCTGCAATTTAGTTGCTGTGATGAACACTTAGGAGAAAATGTAATAGATGATTGCTTGCAACATTGTTGTTGGGTAAACAGGCATCTGCTAAAAAAGCACGAGCCACATCAGCAATTTGAATGCTTTTTTCCTTGGATGAGCAGGCTTGGCTTATTTGTTACCTTTTCTGATGCTGAACTTTACTTTTCTGAATGAGCTGAGCAGTTGTACTTCAGCATCATGTTTTCTTCCATTTCTAAGAACAATTTAATAGTATGTGAGCTTATGCAGTTACCTGGAATGTCTCTCCTTTAGTTTGGTAGCTTATCTCTTAATGGTGGATGCAAGCTTCTCTCTTACATACTTTATCATATGTCCAACTTAGGTTCTTTAAAAGAGGATCAAAGAGGGGATGCTGAGGCAGATCACCCAATTGAGGAAGTGAAAGAATTAGGAAAGAGCAAATGGTCAAATAATTTGGATGAGGATGATAACCACAAAAATGAAGATACGAGAAATTTAAATTCTCTTTCTGGGTTAAGAAAATCTTATAGTAAGGAAGGTAAATCAGTACGTTGGGGTGACCAGGTATGTCTTATTATACAATGATTTTTTCTGCTGTTGTTCATCTGTACATCCTACAGATTCTTATGACAGAGAACTGCAAAAGCTCTCTCTCTCTCTCTCTCAGATAGATTCATGCTGATAGCCAAGTTACCTGGATATAGTGTAGGTTACGAGAGTACTGATTAATAGGAGGAAAAACAATTGGCTTTGTTTGGATTGGGCTTTATTTCTCAAAATTTATTTGCTTACATCATCATTACAATTTCCAATACACCTTTTTACCTTTCCAATTACCTTTTTATCTCACATACATCACATCACAAAAAGTGCTACAGTAAAAATATCTCTAATAATTCACAATCCAAATGCCATTGTAGTCATTAATTACTATTAAGTAAATATCCCCTTATTCATGCTTGAAGGGTTGCAATAACCACAAAGTTCATAAAATGTTTTTAAGTAGTTTCTGTACTTAAATTATGTTATTTGGTGTCTGTGGTTATCCCAAAACAAATGAGGTTTGAATTAGGTAGTTTTAAAAGTAAATGATGGCACTAGAAGACTTAAAGCCTGTTTGGATTGTGAGTTTTCGTGAAAGTTTTTGTGAAATATTCTGATGACACATTTCCCAATCACCTTTTTGTTTCACGTACATCACATCACTACAATATTTTTCTCCAAAAGCAATTCAAATGGGCTCAAACCTTCTGATTAAATGGTAATTTTTTGTGTATTATACGAATCAAAAAATGGCTTCATGTCAGTATTTTTCCATCACATGTATATAACCTGTATTGCTGTCCCCCCCCAACCCCCCGCGCGCGCAGGGGAGGGAGGAGGCTTTGTCCTGATATTTCTGTCATAGTTACAGAATATGTGGTGTGTGTGTGTGAGAGAGAGAGTGTGTGCGTGTGTGCGTATTATACGAATCAAAAAATGGCTTCATGTCAGTATTTTTCCATCACATGTATATAACCTGTATTGCTGTCCCCCCCCCACCCCCCGCGCGCGCGGGGGAGGGAGGAGGCTTTGTCCTGATATTTCTGTCATAGTTACAGAATATGCGTGTGTGTGTGTGAGAGAGAGAGAGAGTGTGTGTGTGTGTGAATATTTGTTTAAGTGGATGAAGAAGCTGAAAAGCTTGCCAAAATTTGGAAGAAGATTGTGAAGTAAATTCAACTCTAGGTTCTGAACTTATAACTCAAAAGCCAAATGTCAAGATGCTATATTTCAGTGCTTAGCAGATATTTTGATTGGGTGTTTGGTATCTTAAAGGTTAAATTTCTGGAGGCAAAGGATTACTTAGTGGAAAAGTGTTTTCTTCCCTAAAATAGGTGTTCACAATTAGGGCTGTGTTTACAGGATCACTGTCATATTCAATCATCTGGATTTGCCATAACCTTTCAAAGTTCTAGTTGAAAAAATCTGTACCTCATTCTAAGTTAAAGTCTGCCTTCAAAATCCGTGATCTATTCTGAATTAAAAGATTATAAATTCCTCTTTTCTTTTGTTTTTCTTTTAACTTAATTTCCTTGAACTAAATAAATGATTTCTGTTTTACTTGTCTAATGAATCTCGTCCTTCACTCAGGTTCGCAATTCGGGCTTTTCAATAGCTGTTGCAAAGTTTAGAAACATAGCCTCTTTGGTCATTGGCCCTGGTGCTGGATACAATATGGTAAGACAAGGCTGGCGTTTTTGTATGTTTCCACTTTCTGGACCCGGTTTTTATTTTTCTGTTATGTACAAGGAAAGGTTGTATGTGTTGTGTGTGTGTGGGGTGGGGGAGTGGGGAGGGGGATTGTTTATCTCCTTCTCCTGGATGATGATCTTTGCTTATTCATTTATTCTCCCACGAATAGCCGGTATCATGTTCTCATTACTACGTATTTGTAACCGAAAAAAAAATGCAGAAGTCAAACCCATTGCCTGATGAGGAGTTGACAACAGCTTCACATGGCAAAGGCAAATTGAGGAAGCAGAGTGTATTTCAAGAGCAGTTACGTGCAGAACAGGAATCCTTCAAAGCTGTGTTTGACAAGAGAAGGCAACGAATTTCCATGCTTGATGAGGACTAGTAGTGGACAAGAAGATGCTGTAACTAGCAAAGTTTTGTACGACTGTCTCTCCATTTTTGAGTTCTGCTGTTTTAGTGTGGAGAGAATGAAGATTATTGTTCATTCCCCATTGTATTGCCAACTTCTTGCTGTATTCTAAGAAAGTTCATCAATAAAAGATTTTCATCCCCTGATTGGACTTCAATTGTTAAATGTAATCTGAATCTCTATTTCAGAGTGGCTAATAGCTGTCTTGTTGCATTGCTCCAGACCTTGTTTTTGGCAGCCGGGGAACAGGAGAGCTAAGTCTTTATGAGTTGAAGATGTTATAATAACATGAACAATTGCGCGAGTGCTATATTAGTGTTGGAATTTGGAATTTGGAATTTGTCTGCTTGGGGAAGCTAAACCGAAGCTGTATTCATCGATTTCAAAACTTTTTTGGTTCAAGGGTTCTGCATGATAGTGATTGGTTTGTTGTCATTTTGAGTAAATATGATTCATATTCCCAGCAACGTTGTTAAATCCAAATTTGCATTGGATAGCGACTCGGTTAAACTACTGAATCAGGAGTCAATTGGTTTAATCGGTCGAACTACTCTTTTGGATTGGATAGCGACTCGGTTAAACTACTGAAGTAGGAGTCAATTGGTTGAATCGGTTGAACTAGTCTAAAAAATTCACTGAAATCAGCATAATATCATAATTATTTTATATTTTTTGTGAGATTTAGAAATATTGAAATTAAATTTTTGGTTATATTAGACCAATCATATAAAATATTCTAAAAATATTAGACTTTCAATTAAATATACACCTAATAGTTATATAAAAAAATGTAAATTAATGGCTCAAATATGTCTATTCTTCAAAACTACTTGAAAAACTTAATTAAAACAAATTAATGCAAGCTGAAATCACTGATATTAAATTGATAAGATGATAGAGATGAAAACATTTTGATTTAGAGATCATTCAGAAAAATGAGTGATTTTGGTATTTTTAGGTAACTCAAATTATGTTTGGAGAAAACAAGAAAGAAAAGCTTGAGAATCGTGTCAACCAGTCGAACCGGATCACTAGTTTAGCCGATTATTGACGGTTTTGACTAAAGCAATTTTGTGCTGCAAATTAATTCGAGAAAAAGATCGGTTCACAGTCGGACCGACCGATCCAATCCGAGTCGGGTTTGTTTGGATAGAGATTTATTAGCCAAAATTTATTTGCTTACATCATCATTACAATTTCCAACGCACCTTTTTATCTTCTCAATTACCTTTTTATCTCACAGACATCACATCACAAAAAGTGCTACAGTAAAAATATCTCAAATAATTTACAATCCAAACAGAGCGAATTCCCACCGGGTGCGATGCTTCATGGAATTGGCAAGTGACAAACAAAATTGCGAGGCAGTACAAATTGTCCTCCAATGGCTTTCATTTCAAACATTTGCCTCTGTCGAAAAGATCACTTACCAAAGCAATTTTTTTTTATGATATTGTATTGCATCCTAGAATTATCATTGACAGAATTATTCCTGATCTTTTAATTTTGTAAGAGCTGGAGATTTTGAAAAAAAATTAGCAACCTCTAATCAATGTCTAAAAACACAAATGGGGAGAACTGCCTCAGGTAGCTACTGTCTAATGTAGTCAAGTCAAGTAATGGTGGCGGTCAATTGATATGGTTGAAGGCCCTGCAATTCGATAAAACCAGTTTAGGCATCATTAAGCTATGGGAATCATTCTGGTATTTAGTTCTTAATAATTGACAATTAATTCGATGCCATTTTGACAAATTTGTCCCTTTTTGACCTGGCTACCTTTTTTTTTATTAGCAAGGAGTGCTATGACACAATCCTTAGATTTTTTTCGCTGCAGGTGAGGTTTGAATCCTCACCTACAGCTCAAGGAGGGACTTAAACCCCTCCCTGGTGGCCACTGAGCCCATTGATTTGACCTGACTACCTAACAATGGATTTCTGGGGTAGGAGTTTTTTTCCTCCAACCTGATGGCTCAAGAAATTGTTTTATAGATGGAGCGAAGGAAATTGATACTCTGTGGAACAAAATAACTTATAAAATTGCATTAGTCCATGCTCCAAAAAAAATAAAATAAAATAAAAATAAACCTCGCATCAAATGAACTGAACTTCCTAAAACCTTGAAAAGGAAATAAGCATCACAATTCTGACTGGTGAAAAAACTGTGGCATGATTTTTGCCCAAGTAAAGGAAGGCATTGAGCAGGAGGGAGGCAGGGTAGAGGTCATATTTTTTCTTTACTTTTTAATAATTCTTTCCAGGTTTTGTTGGGGGCTACCATTTCTGGATGATTTTAAAGAAGCTAAGCTAATTGAAAATAAAATAAGAGGTTGGACTGGAGAGACATATAGTTTCATTGCCATGAATCTGCACTAATAGCAGAAAATACATCAACGTGTCACAAATACATAAATATTTGAAAATCATAAGATAATACTTCAACATAAACCTACCATAAGGTTTTAGAATTAAAAGTTTTTTGCTTATGAGAAAATTGAATCTTAGACATCACGTTTAAAAAAAAAAAAAAGGGTTATGTTTTCAGACCATAATTACTTAATCAACGTTTAATCAACATTGGTAATTCTTTTCTTCTACCTAAATAAGCATCTGGACATGAATTTATTCAGAGAATGACTGGTCAAATGCACTGTCACGGTTCCTATTGAATCAGTGCTAGGCGGCGGTAGAAAAAAAAAAATTCAACAAAACCTACAAAGTAGGTAACTTAATTGCCACAACTAATGTAAATGTGACAGTCAAAGCTAGAAAGTTGTCTTGGTCGACAAGATTAATCCCTCAAGATAGGGAATCAAGTAGAAGAACGAAGCACCTAACTAAGCAACAACTTAGTTGCTACAATTAATATAATCGAGTCAAAGTTGAGCTTTGACCCGAGCTCGAGCTCGATTTTATTTTGCATTAGTCGAGTTTAAGCTCGAGCTCTTGCTCATCAAGGCCAATTGAGTTTAATCAAGTCTAATCCAGATTAAAAAAATATAAATTTGTAGTATTGTATATAATTGAGTTTGATGAGTTTTCGAGTTGCATATATTAAGTTCGAACTCGAGCTCGACTTGCCAAGTAATTCAAGCTGCTCGAGCTCGAGTTCAAATTCAGTCAATGAGAGCTCCAGAGATCGAGTTCAAACTTTAACCAAGCAAACTCGCGAACTACTTGGACAGGACAAGCATACTCAAATTTGCAACTTTACAATGGATGATCTGGATCTAATCGTATAATATGCTTAAAAGCATTAAACACTATCTTGACTCCGGGGACAGGGACAAGGGATCCGCCTCAGCATGGCACTCTCCAGTCGTTACTTCAGAAGGGGGCCCAAAGAAAATTTTTCTTGACAGGTTTATTGGCTGTCAAGAAGTGAAAGATATGATACAATTAGGTAAATTATGGTACAATTATGTATACAATTAGGTAAATGGTCATAAAAAAATGACAAAAATTGCAAGTCCCCAGGACCAGACAAGTTGAATCATATACAAAACTTGTTGTTTTGACATTCTTTTTTCCTTTTCTTCGGGAGAAAAGTTGTTTGACATTCTTGATTAAGGACAGTATTGACTCAGATATGTTCTGTTGGATCACAAATGATACCTTTTCCAGTATTGGGCATCAACAGAAAGAATCCCTTGGGTTTTTGTTGACTGTTTGCAAATGACATGCATCAATTTAAGGGCATCATGAAAATAATTAATGCATATGGACTCGCACCTGATCGCTAATCCTTTCCACTGTGTCAAAAAACCCAACAAGAATCTTGCTGCTGAGCCACCTCCAAGTAGCGTGAAAGTACACAGGGACTCGAGCCTCCTCAATTATTTTTATTGAAGATGTAAGATTGGGTACAATTGAATATGCGCAGAGAGAGAATGCACAGTATTAAAAATGTAAAAGTCATAATTCATGCTTACCTATGCGTGTGGTGTATTTATTGAAACGGCAAGACACACATATGTATGCATGGGGCAGCTTATTATTTTTAAGGATGGCAACGATGACGGGCACGAAAGAGTAGTCGGGCTGGGGATGGGGTGAGGTGGGATTTTTTTTTCTCCCATTTTAAATGGAGCGAGGGATGGGAAAGGATCGATGCCCTCGTTCCATCCCCGCCACTCAAATGAATTTTTTTAAAAATATATATATATATATATACAAACACGCACGCACATATACATACTTATGCAATTACTTGAATTTTTTTTCTCACGTAGTGTAAATTGTTTATCAAAAAATAAAAACAAATATGATGGTTATAATTTAGATTTGCTAGTAAACGTGGAGAATTGAATTTAAAAACATCAGAATGACTTTTAAGGTTGATTTCACATTGAATATTTAGTGAAGAATCTAAAAGAATGATTTATAAAATTGTTAATTATGTTATATATGTAGACAAATAATGTCAAAATAAAAATTTGTAATTATAATTAGCCAACCATGAGAGCGCCCACACAGGCATGGGGTGGGGCTGGAATAAGGGAAGCTGGCGGTGGAAGGAGATTTTAAAACATGGGGCATGATCTGCTTGGTTTGTTTACCCGGAATGGAAAGCGGAATCGACCAACCACATAAATGCATCTCTACAAGTGCAGTTTATTTAAGATCTGAGCCTAAACCACAGGAAATTTATTGTTTTTTTTTTTTTGCTGCAATGATAACATTCTCATAATCTAATATATCCTGTTCTATAGGGGGAGGGACCCTAAAGAGGTCGTATAAAGGGTTAGCAGGTATATAGATCTGACTAGATCAAATGGGTATTCTGACACCTCCTTTGAATTTTTTCACTGTATATAAGGTTCAAACGCCTGACATACAGTCCAAAAATGGACTTAGATGGCCACTGAATGATTCATTTTTCGCTGTTGTCATTTGAGAGTTCTGTAAGAAAAGTAAAACTTAAGCATTTCTTTACTCATGAATAAAATATGTAAATATCTCCTTAATGAAGTTGAATGTGATGAAAACGACAAGAAAGTTCTACAAACCAAGTGCTATTAATTTATACGTCGTGAACAAAATTAGACCAAACAAGAACTTTAGGGACCAATTCAACAACTCACCACAAAACCACTCTATAAATATAAATCCTACCTGGTGTTATATGCTGCAGTCAAACTCCCACTTGCCAGTCTCTATCCTACCA